AAGTGAATGAATTGGTTTGGGATGTGATATTGGAAGCGGTGGATATTCATCGGCAGGAACACCGATTATTGTGGTGTCGCAGTGTTGAGTGGTTCGAAGACGTCGACAGTGTCGAGGGATATATTTTTTCCCGTCGTTCGAATGATCGTCGTACCGATTTTTTTCTTCTTTTTCTTTTTTCACTCGCTCTCTTTCTTTTGAATCAGTCTGTGTGACCACGTATTGACTGCCGACAACTGTTTTTTTTTTTCTCGTTCTATTCACGTTTTTCCCTGACGTCGTCGATGATGACGACGACGATGTGCGAAACGCGCGACATTACTCGATCGCACCTTGACGTTGTCGGAGACCAGAAATTAGTTTTTTCTCTGTCGATATATTTTGACATCGGAGAAAATTCAAAGTATTTTCGAACAGCATTTCACACAAAATTGAAGAAACAAGCAAAACCGAACAACGTCTTATGTCATGTCATGGCACCTATGACGCTGTAGCACCAACAGCAGCCTAAAATGTTTGAGCTCGCTAAATAAGGACCTTGAGTCAACTAAGTTAAATTTGTGCTCGGAATTTTAGCATTTTTGAGAGTAAAAAAGTGAACCATAATTTCTGGACTGGGAAACGTAAGTGTTTTATAAAAATATCGCCGCTGAGAAAATCTATTGGAATTACTTCACAGAAAAAAATAAACAGATTTTGCTTGTAAATGTAAACGCAAGCACGTTGATGATTCTCCAAGGAATTGAAAGGGACAGCCAGGACGCATAAAATTCAGCAAAAAAAAAAATCGTGCAGTTTCTGAAAACAAAAATTGTTGGGTTCATTCATGCTTTGCCTTAAAATTGACGCATTTAGAAGTGGTCGGATTGTTTTTAAACGCGAAGTTGGCAATAAACTCGGAAGGAAGTGAGCTTTTTTTTCGAGCTTGATTGTATTTTTCGGTGATTTCAGTGATCGTTTCTATTTTCGGAAGAATTATCAGGGCGTTGTGTGATTGATTTTCTAATTACAGTCGATTCCCCCTCAACTTCCTGGATTTCCTTCACACGCGAAGTTCCCAGGAAATTTTTTCCGCTTATTTATCACGTTTTTAAACCTTGATATCTTTTTGCTTTTAATGAAATCTGATTTTTATTTTCGTGGAAATTAAATCCTTGGACAGTGGTTCCATGGTTTCTGTGACAATTTCTAACAACGTTGTGTTCACTAGTCTTTGCCATTTTTGTTGCCTGAATTTTTTCATTCTGAGATCGTTTTCTGAAAAACGATTGTGCTTTCAGTGATGGATTTTTTTTTGGAAAGTTGTGGGGTTTAATAGTTTTGTGGAACATCGATAAACGCATAAGAATTATTCAAACTTTTTTTGTGATAATTTTCGCGATTCGCCTGAAACCGAGGCAAACTGCTCGTTTCGCCTCTATAATTACTGTACTCTTTTTCGGTACTTTCCTGCTATCTCAGTACCAACTTTCCGTGCACCTACCAGAAACTGTGAATATCATTTTTCCACATTCTGCTGAAACTGATTTCGGGAGGCGGTTAGGTAAAGTTAGGTTAGGTTAGGTCAGGTTATGTTAATTGAAAGATATTTGTAACTAACATAACCTGACCTAACCTAACCTAACGAATACTAAATTCACGAGACAAGGAAAAATGGGTACTGAGATAACAGGAAAGTACCCTTTTTTCCTTCACTGTCTTGGAAAAATATTCTAGCGGATTATGAAAATTCATGGATATCACTCAGAAGTCTAAGCAGTGAAGATACTTTAATTTGGCTGTTTTTTTCGTATAATTTTGAAGCGCGTGAAAATTAGACAACTTTAAAAAACAAGTTTCAGCTCGCTTGAAAAGCACTTGGGAACCGTATATCGATGGATGCTTTTAAAATACTTTGTCTTGAAGAATGTAGGAATATAATGTAATGCCTTCATTGGTGGTCCTCGAAATTATTGAAACCTCAAACTTTCACACTCTTTTCCAAAAAAGTGTTACTGAAAGCACAATCGCCTTTTCTAAAACTGTCTGGGAATGAAAAATTCAGGCGCGAAGAAATGTTACATACAGTATTAGTGGATACAACGTGTAATATGAATTCAGTTTCATGCATACAATTTAATTTGTGCCGAACAGATTGTAATTAACTCGATATGTCAATTTTTTCGGCGGCTCATCTTCAATTGTTCAATGGACATCACGAGTAGTTTTTCGTTCCATGCTTTACTCCTGATCTGTTTGACTTTCTGATGATTTGAGATGAAATGTGCTCAAATAACTCTGAATTACGGCATTGCTTGTCCAGATCATGGTAAAAAAAAACAGGTATTATTGGTCATCGAGCATGAAAAAAAAGTTCTGTGTATTGTTTAATACTGTATTCAAATTAGCAATTTTCTGTCCCTTTTTTTTCTTGAGACTGAAGAACGAATGTAGTAAGTGCTGAGCCGTCATGGTGCGAAGGTTTTCGATGCTGTGTTTTTCGGTGTTGGTGCTGGTTTTGATCTGTTTGCCCGGGTTGTCTGAATCGCGGGGTCCTCGTTTTGGCAACAAACCGCACCCGGGTCGCGTCGAGCACATCTACCCCGGTACCCACGGGGAAATCGTGTACCACCAGGACCCCAGGATTTTCCAGGGATCTGATGCGTGAGTGCTTTTGTGATGATGAATTTTTTGCAAAATGCTGTCATTCATCATTTTTGGGTTTCGGTGTTTGACGTATGAAACGAAAGATGAGTGAATCAAGTACAGTACGGTACAGTAAAATACCGCGATCTCTCGAAATTACGGGATGGACCAGAGCATTTTGGAAACGATTGGGCTTAAATTGAAGTTCAATTCAATTCGCTTTCTAATTGTGATTGAATCATGAGGAAATTAGTTCAAGAATGTTACGTTTGAAAAACTAAACTGTGGAAGCCGCTACGTTAAATTTAGGCGAGAATAAATGTCGACTTGATAGGTTTTCACAATGATGTATGTACGTGTTTAAAAAAAGGTTCAAATTTTTTTGGTCATTTAAAATCGTAACTCACAAACTTTAGTTAGTCCTGAAACTGAGTTTCGAAGGAATTCGGCTAAAAAGGAACTTACATTTCTCGGTCATTCCAAAAGTAATTTTTCAGTTTTTAAATTTTTTCTTCAAAATAACTATATATTTTTTTCAAAATCGTTTTAAAATTTTCTCATTTTTCCGGGATTGACTCACCCCCTGTAATTCTTTAAGCAAGAATTCGGGCCCGAAGAACTATACGAGTATGTTGCCAATTTTTTGCTCTAGATATTTGAATACCGTATAGGCCACGCTGAAATACCGCAAAAGGCCACGTGGCCTGTACTCGAATTCATGAAAATTAAAGCTGCGAGAAAAGCAGCAGAGATGATACCTTTGCTTACTTCGCAAATGTAGCGCTTGTTTTATTTGGATGTAGGAAAAAAATAATTAAGCTCTAAATCCTAGTGAATTTTTATGTTGCGGGAACTAAATTTCTTCGAAGTTTGCTTCGTGTTTTGTCAGAATAAAAATACAGTATATCATTTCGGGAAAGTTCCATTTTATGGCTTTTTTTAAATTTCAATACAATGTCTATCCAAGTTTTGCTAACGTTAGTGTGGATTGATTCGAACTGTCGCCAGGACGATACCGAAATGGACGTATGGTGATCTCAGTTTTAGGTTTTTTCTCCACTTCAAACTCAAAATCGTACTCAACCAGATTGAAATGGAGAAAATATGGGAAAATGAAATGAGAAAATGATAAAGACCAGAGTTTTTTAAAAATGTGTGGTTTCAAAATGCTATTGAAATTTTTTTAGCGAGTGTTAGTCTTAGTATGAATAAAGTTCCAGATCTACCCATCATGAAAAAAAAGTTTTAATTTTGAGAATGTTCCGTTTGAATTAAGATGAAATAAATGTAGCGTCCAATGTCCAATTTCCCTAAAATTTCGACTGATCAGCAATGCATTGTTCAATTCGAGTTTCCCATCACTGATGATTTGAGGCAAATGAAGGTACTTTTTACTGATTGGGAAAATGTCTAGGTTTTTCTGTGCTTTGAAGGATACTGACTACGAAAATTGGGCACTGGAAATCACTTCTTTTTAAAATATAGCTCAATTTTCAGCAGCGCGTGACCAAATCTATTATTACGATGCAATTTTTCATTGAAGTCAGTTTATATGATGCAAAACATTTTAAAAATGATTTACTGTACCGTACTTCAATCCTTGAAACCCTTCTCAGTTCATTCCAAGCAGGGCACAAACTTTTGAACCAGCTCTCGCGCATTCGAATAAGTAAGCGAAAAGAAATCACCCTTTGTTGCCAGTCGGATAGAATTCGTCGACGTCGTGTCAATGTCCAATATCGTATGTGTCGGTGTGTATGTTTGATTGTCCCTGAAATTCTTGCAGAGGAATTCCGAGCATCCCGAAAGAAAAAGTGCTGGTCGACGGCCGTTGAACCAGCATGTATTCGAATCCAGTGCTTCGACGCATTTGCTGGCGAAAAGAAAAATCACGAGTCGATGTAGATGAAATGCATCCTGCTTTTTTTTTATCGGATAGTCGCATTTGTGTGCTGTATTGAGAGAGAAAAAGGATGCTGGTTAGTTGAAATCAACTGTTGTGAAAACCTCTGTGACGGTTTGGCGAAAGAACGCAGTATATTTCAGTCTGAAAAATCTGTGAGACAGAGGCGAATTCTTCAGATGAAAGATGAAAACAAATTAGATAATTTTCAAATGAAATATGTACGTGTGTAATTTTTTTTACGATGTGGGTTAAGGACTATTGAATAAGTGCTGGTAGTCAAAAATATAAAGTTCAACGTATCTTTGACAAGTTCAGGAAAAAAATTAAAGTTCGTGTGAGGCAACGTGGGGTGAGAATTTGAACAATATGTTCAAACTGAAATCTTTAAAGTTTGCTTCTGTTTTCCCAAGCCGAAAAAATCCCGTTTCATCATGTCAATCGTCATATAGATTACAATGATTAAGTTTTATACCCTTCAATTTCAGTCGCCTTTTGAAACTTCCTGCGATTATTTTCCGAGCGAATCTCACTCAAAATACTGAATTTTTGTCTAAACATTTCAAAAGATGATTCAATCCTTTAAAGTCGTTTTGAAATTCATGGGATAAAATTCATGATATTAAAGGATATTATTACGATTTTTCCGTCGAAATTCTAGCGATGTTCCCCTGAACGCCTCATTTTTGAATGCAATGAAATTTGAAGAACTGAATGTTGAGACCTTTTTGTTTCAGCTCTGTGTAGTGTTTAACTCTCAGGATTCGTGTTTACTTTGGTACTTGAATCTTCATACTGGTGTTGGAAAAATAGAAAAAGGTGACGAAACCACGAAGATGAAATTTTCTGACCCCACAGAGCAGCGACTTTCACGCGGTCGCAATTTTCTCCCTTCATATCTCGCTGGAGGCTCCGGCGAATTGCGTTTTTCCGGGTCAGACTTTCTTGCCGTAGGGGATTATATATATATTTTTTTTCGACAATTTCCCAGTTCTCACCTGAAGGAAAATCGTCACATTAAAAAAAATTATTTAAATAATTTATTCGTGGTATGATTCATTGGGAATGGCTGCTGTATAACGGAACTTGCTGATTGGAGTCGTGAGCGTTTTTTTCCACTGTGATGAATAATTGTTGAATATTCAAATGGGGCAATAAAAATTGAACTTTGGCATTTTCGAATTGTCTCTTGATCCTTGCTTATCGGTCGGTGGGTTTCGCTCAACTTTTGTCTTGCCTAGTTGATGCTAGAATAGTTTAAAATGCCAAAATTTTGAATTTAAATGTTTAAATTTTTTTTAATGTAATTACAGTTCGTTACGACGAATTGTTCATTATAACGAGTTTTTCCGTTGTCCCAGCAGTTTCTATATGGGTGCCGAGACTAATAAAAGTCTCATTTCAACAAAATCATCTTAAATTTTAATATTAATCTGATTGATTTTTGGCCCTGGTTCTCCGAATTTTTCGTAGGAATTATTCGGTAGCTGAAAAAAATGCCCTTGTGCTGCATTTTTAAATTTTTTTGTGAAGCAAACCTTTCTGTAGAGAAAGTTTAGCGTTTCAGGAAATACACAGCATGACATATTTCTCTCCATTTGAGAATGTATGCTCTTTTTAAAAATAAACAGTGTGCTACGAAAAAATATTTCTGTATATTTAAAAGAAGAAACTGGTATGAATGAATAATTTAATGTGTTGGGAAGTATTTTCACCCACATTGTACTGACTTTTATTTTAAAAGACAAACAGCAGCTTAGTGGAAAGGCAGATTCAAAATAAGAAAAATGCTGATGATTCAAAAATCGTTCCTCTTGATTTCATCAGAGAGACAGTAATTAGACACGTCTCAAATTATCTGTGGTAGAAGCACTTCATAGTACTTCAGTACCTGTTTTTCACAAAAATTGAGCTGAAAATATGTGAAAAACCAGGAGTCTAAATATAACGAATTTTGTCTCAGACCCTTGTGAGTTCGCTGTAACGAGATTTTACTAGTTAATTTTCATTTACGTTCCTGTTTGTTAGATCTCTGAATATGCCTGACTTGCGGGGGAAATTTTTCACTTCTCCTGATTTTTTTGAATGATGGAAATGGTTCCATTTGTTGAGCTTTTTATATCGTGATTAATTTTTTTTCTGTCCTTTGTAAGATTATAGAATTCATCATGGGGAACGAAATGAGCTGGTTTTTTGAGTAGAATGGAAGGAAAATTGATGGATTCAATACGAATCGGCTCATTTATCTCTATTGCGCAGTTTCCAGGTGAAGGGCTTGAGGTGAAAAGAATAAAAAAAAATAAAAGGGTGCTTCCGAATAGAATCACTTGTCGATTCTCGTGACGACGTGTTTCGTTGGCGATAATCGAAAGTGTGGGAAGGATTTTTTTCTATATTATTGAGCAAGGAAATAAGTTTATTTGCGGACGAAAATATTTTTCTCGGGTTGAATATTCTTCCCTTTTTGAATATTCTTTATGAGATTACTGTACTGTATTCCCGGGTGGAGACGGGAAAATTATTCTCAAAGCTTTTCTTTTCAGTTTGAAGGAGAAAAGCAGGTCGTTCAAGTGACCTTTTTTTCTTCACATATGAGCCGGAAACTTATGCAAATAAATGTGTGCCTCGTTTCTGAAGCTTGTGCTTTTGTTTTTCTTGCGATTGTTGAGATTATTCACCTTCTTCTGAACGACTTCTTATGAACATTGAGTTTCAGAGAGTATTACCAGGGTGCGTGGGGTGAGACGAAAGTTTGTGGAGATTCGTTTAATTACTGTACTGTACTTGATTGTGGCAAATTTTTCTTGTGTACATCAAGAATAGCGAGTGGAACAAAAACAGGTACTGTATTGTAATTTAGGTTCAGATAGTTTTATGTGCGATCATGAAGTTTTGTCCAACCGAGTATATTTTGTTGGGAAGAATCGCAAGGTTTTTTAGATGCTTCTGGAAAAAAAAACCTGGTTCATACAGTTGCCAGTTGTTTTACTTATTGAAATGAAGCATGGGTTGACTTGAAGATCCAGTGAAAATTCTACCGAAATTTGTAAAATGTATCTTCTGAAACCTCGACTGTAGAACTATTTGATGACAAATTGCTTGATCGATAAAAAAA